CAAAAATTAAATTTACGGGGTTGCATGTGGACAGGAAACATTACTGCAAAATTTTCTGGCTTTATTGTTCCCTGGATAACAACTTCCTCGCCAAAATTTTCACAAGACCGTATGTGATGCTCGGATGCGCGGGAAGGCTGAATTTAAGTCTGTGAGGTCGTACGAGGCAGGGGTCATTATCGTAAAAGTTCAGCTTCCAAGCTTTTATGGTTTCCGAGATAATAATTTCCCCGCTAAACACTTTAACGGGACCGTACGTGGTACGTAGGAGCGGGAAAAGGCTGAAATTCAATTTACGGGGTCATACGTGGGCAGGAGCCATTACCTTAAAAATTCACCTTTCTGGCTTTCATAATTCCCGAGATAATAATTTTCCTTGCTAAAACTTTCGCGACGTTGTACTTGGTGCCCACGGATAGGGGAAAGCTGAAATTAAATTTGCGAGGTCAGGCGTTTGTGGGGTACACTCCCACGAATTTTCATCTTCCTAGCTTTTGTGGTTTTGGAGCTGAAAATTGCGGACAAAATGCGTCGGACACAAACACAGACAATATGCGCCATGTGCGGCTGTTGCACAGCAAAAAACGCATAAAAATTCTAAAGTTTGCAATATTAAGGCCTTACAGCCTGTTATAATTAAGTTCAGCGTGAAACTCCCAAACAGCGGCCAAAATTTCAAAAAAAAAAGGAAAAGGCGAAGGATGGAATTTAAAACGTGCCAAGATAAAGAGAAGATAATGCCGGGCCGACATTTTCATCGATATAGCTAACACCAAGTGTAAAAAGCGGCGTTGCCCCAATACCGTGCAAAAAATGAGCAATACAGAATAAGAAGATGTAACGAAATGTGCTTTGCTGAAAATTACGTAAAAATTCCAAACTGATAGCTGCAGCAAACAAAATTGCAGAGAATGAGACTGCTACTACTTTTTCACATTATTCCGCAAAAGCAGCACCACAAGCAGTTAACCCAATTACCCACAATAACTTCTTGAGGGTTTAGCCGATGAGGAGTACAGAGTATTAAACGGATTTCTGAAAAACTTCGTAATATGAGTGCGGCAGATGAAGTTCCGCGGGAAACTAAATATTACTAGATGTCGCTCCTAAGCGATAGGCAGCGTCGAGAAACTGACTGGGATAAGTAGCAGAAGAAATGTTAACCTGATTTTCCGGCGATGGACAACTTCGTAGAGCTTCGGCACTTGCTGCTGACATTGATGCATACAGAGAATTGTTAAACCCGAAATTTAGCTTTGTGGCGCTCTCTTAAAAATGTAATCGAATAGATGTTCCTCAG